GCTCCCACCATCCCTGTGCTGAGTTCCCGGGTCTGTACACCTGCTGTGCCCATTATGAGGAGCTCCCACCATCCCTGTGCTGAGTTCCCGGGTCTGTACACCTGCTGTGCCCATTATGAGGAGCTCCCACCATCCCTGTGCTGAGTTCCCGGGTCTGTACACCTGCTGTGCCCATTATGAGGGGCTCCCACCATCCCTGAGCTGAGTTCCTGGGTCTGTGCACATTATGAGGGGCTCCCACCATCCCTGAGATGAGTTCCCGGGTGCATGAAGAGGAGTGAGACCCCGAGCTGGCCGGGAACACAGCAAGAAAGCACATTTTCCCCAAGTGGCCAATAGGAGATGACAATTCGAGTCACATGACTGAAAGCAGCGTCCGTCACAGCCAGTAACATGAGGTAAGCCTCTGGAAGATTTGCACACTTGACGGTCACTGAGGCGATTCCTAATAGGATTTAGCAGCTGATCCGCAGAACGGAGTAAGCTCCGCCCACAGCGACACGCTGGAAGAGGGGGGAGGAGCTTCACTGACTGCCAGAACTTTACTGGGAGGGGAGGAATTTGGGGCCCAGCCCAGCTTTGTAGAGAGAACAGTTCAGCTTTGTACACGGATCAGGTCTCCACATTCCATGTTATATTACAGAACCTCCCCCAGTGCTGCTCGTGCACCTGTAAGCCGAGGCATTGGGTCATGTGATCCCCGCTGAGATCACCTCAGAGTACTAAGACCGTATGTATTCCAGCTAGCTTGCCGACGTCTGTGTCAGGTGACCAGAGTGAGGCACACACAGGACACGTGTGTGGAAAACATATATGATTTATTATAAAATAATCGTACAAAGATATTTACTACTGGCGTGCACGGTAAAGAGGCCCTGTCACCAGAACTAAGGCACCGGCCATTGTGGTCAGAAATCTGAGAAGACAGAGGCAAGGGGGACCTTCAGGGCTGCAGATAAGGCTGAGGCTCTCCAACCCGCTGGGGGACTACAAGTCCCAGCAAGGCCGCCCTGACCTCATTATAAATAGTTGTTTAACTTCCCGGGGGACTTGCCAAATATTTTTAGAAATCAGGCTGCAAAGGGGTGTGTCCTCCTGTCAGCGGCCATGAGTGTGCAAAAAACAAAAACCTGTCCCCAAACAACATGACTGTACACACAAAGCGGGGCCCTTGTCTCCCGTGTGATGGGAGTGTGTTCCATGCTGTGTGCACAGAGCGGGGCCCTTGTCTCCTATGTGATGGGAGTGTGTTCCATGCTGTGCGCACAGAGCGGGGCCCTTGTCTCCTATGTGACGGGAGTGTGTTCCATGCTGTGCGCACAGAGCGGGGCCCTTGTCTCTCGTGTGACGGGAGTGTGTTCCATGCTGTGTGCACAGAGCGGGGCCCTTGTCTCTCGTGTGACGGGAGTGTGTTCCATGCTGTGTGCACAGAGCGGGGCCCTTGTCTCTCGTGTGACGGGAGTGTGTTCCATGCTGTGGGCACAGAGCGGGGCCCTTGTCTCTCGTGTGATGGGAGTGTGTTCCGTGCTGTGCGCACAGAGCGGGGCCCTTGTCTCCTATATGACGGGAGTGTGTTCCATGCTGTGGCCCCGTTTCCCGAACGATGGGAGTGCGCTCAGTCATCAGCTCTGCGTACAATGGACTGTCCGTGTCCCGATGACAGCCAGTCTCCTGTCACTCGGCGGGTTTCCTGTTGTTGAGGCCGAGCTCTGTCTGTCCTGACTCAGACACAAGTGAAGTGCTGAGTGGCCCCGGGTGGGGTCAGAGGGGGCTACACAATGCTAACCGCTGCGTCAGCTCAAATCCCCTCCCACCCCTGAGAGATCAATGCCCCGCTAATCTGCTGTGGCCCCGCAGGTCCCCTTCGCCTCTCCCAATATCAAAGTGCATTCGTGTTTAGAAGACCCAGAGGTGACCCAGCCCGGTATAGAGAGCCCCGGGCCCCAGAAGAGACGGAGCACCCTATGGAGGGCCCCAGAAGAGATGGAGTCGACCATAAAGGGCCCCGGAAGTAACAGCAGAGTATAGAGGGCCCAAAGGTAACAGAGCATAGTATAGGGAGTCCCTGAATAGACAGAGCCGCATATAAAGGGCCCCAAAAGAGATAGAGCAGACCATAAAGGGCCCCAGAAGTGACATCACAGTATAAAGGGCCCCAGGAGAGGCAGAGCACCATATAGAAAGCCCCAGAAGAGATAGAGCCGACCATAAAGGGCCCCAAAAGAGACAGAGCACCATATATAGAGCCCCAAAAGAGATAGAGCCCACCATAAAGGGCCCCAGAAGTGACAGCACAGTATAAAAGGGCCCCAGAAGTAACAGATCACCATATAGAAAGTCCCAGAGGAGATAGAGCCCCTTATAAAGGGCCCCAGAAGTGACAGCAAATTACAGAGGGCCCCTGAAGAGACAGAGCACCATATAGAAAGTCCCAGAGGAGACAGAGCCCCATATAAAGGGCCCCAGAAGTGAGAGAGTACAGCATAGAGACAGAGCACTGCATAGAGAACCCCGGGCCCCAGAAGAGACAGAGGCCCCGTATAGGGAGCCCCCGGAGGTGACAGAGCACTGCATAAAGAGCCCGAGGCCCCGTATAGAGAGCCCCCAGAGCAATGTATAGAGAGCCCCGGGCCCCAGAAGAGACAGAGGCCCCGTATAGGGAGCCCCCAGAGGTGACAGAGCAATGTATAGAGAGCCCCGGGCCCCAGAAGAGACAGAGGCCCCGTATAGGGAGCCCCCAGAGGTGACAGAGCAATGTATAGAGAGCCCCGGGCCCCAGAAGAGCCTAGGCCTCGTATAGAGAGCCCCCAGAGGTGACAGAGCAATGTATAGAGAGCCCCCGGGCCCCAGAAGAGACAGAGGCCCCGTATAGAGAGCCCCGAGAGGTGACAGAGCAATGTATAGAGAGCCCCGAGAGGTGAGAGAGAACCATCTAGAAAGGCCCAGTATAACCCCCACAGATAATGTGCGACGCCGCGGTCAGATTCGGGCACTCGGTGCTCCTGGCGGCGGTCTCAGGCTGGAAGGTTGCGGTAGGACGGTTGCTCCTGTGGGTAGCGCCAGAACAGCCAGATCCGCAGCAGGCTGGTCACTATACCGGGGAGGTTTGGAACCTGCAGGACAGACATGACAGTGAGGACCCCACATTCACCCTCCACAGACAGACATGAGACACGGAATGCGCACTCACCATGATGTAGGCATCGCTGAGCTGCCTGCCGTACAGCACCCAGGACGTGGAGGCCAGGAGGGTGGTGACGGTCAGCGGGAAGGACAGGCACTTGGTGGATTTGGTTCTGATGATCTGAGCCTGGAGGAGGGGGAGGAGCACACCATGGATTATCTGTACCAGGATAACCAAAGCCCCGCCCACTACTACTTATACACCCAATCAGACTTCCTCCTGAGATCCGGCCACACCCACTGAGGGCGAGCGTGGGGAAAAGGCAGAGAGTGTGTCCCCGGGGTTCAAGCTCCGCCCACTCCCAAAGAGGGAGGAGACTTACCAGGTCGGCCAGCGGAGATAAGTACATGCTGATGGTGAAGAGGCTGCAGAAGAGGCCCAGCTGGTTCAGGCGGACGGCCACATCGGGGGTCCACAGGGAGAAGTAGAGGAACCCCAAAACCAGAACCACCAGCGCCAGGAGGATCTGAGAGAGCGCGTGATGCTGCGGAGGAGAAAGACAAGCGTCAGATGTGTGCAGCGACACGAGGGAGACACACACACAGAGAGATGGCAGTACCTTCTCCGGGGAATAGAAGATGAAGGCCGCCATGTACAGCGTCTGCAGAGAGGCCCCGATGGTGTTCACCGTCATCAGAGTCCAGTCCTCCTTCAGGTACCCGTAATACAGCCAGCCCAGGTTACTGCAAGAGAGGAGCCACGCTCACCGTACTGCCCACAACACTACCCACATACTCCGCCCACAATACTCCACTCACTACCCACAATCCTCCACTCACTTCCCACAATCCTCCACTCACTACCCACAGTCCTCCTTCAGGTACCCGTAATACAGCCAGCCCAGGTTACTGCAAGAGAGGAGCCACGCTCACCGTACTGCCCACAATACTCCGCCCACAATACTCCACTCACTACCCACAATCCTCCACTCACTTCCCACAATCCTCCACTCACTACCCACAGTCCTCCTTCAGGTACCCGTAATACAGCCAGCCCAGGTTACTGCAAGAGAGGAGCCACGCTCACCGTACTGCCCACAATACTCCGCCCACAATACTCCACTCACTACCCACAATCCTCCACTCACTTCCCACAATCCTCCACTCACTACCCACAGTCCTCCTTCAGGTACCCGTAATACAGCCAGCCCAGGTTACTGCAAGAGAGGAGCCACGCTCACCGTACTGCCCACAATACTCCGCCCACAATACTCCACTCACTACCCACAATCCTCCACTCACTTCCCACAATCCTCCACTCACTACCCACAGTCCTCCTTCAGGTACCCGTAATACAGCCAGCCCAGGTTACTGCAAGAGAGGAGCCACGCTCACCGTACTGCCCACAATACTCCGCCCACAATACTCCACTCACTACCCACAATCCTCCACTCACTTCCCACAATCCTCCACTCACTACCCACAGTCCTCCTTCAGGTACCCGTAATACAGCCAGCCCAGGTTACTGCAAGAGAGGAGCCACGCTCACCGTACTGCCCACAATACTCCGCCCACAATACTCCACTCACTACCCACAATCCTCCACTCACTTCCCACAATCCTCCACTCACTACCCACAGTCCTCCTTCAGGTACCCGTAATACAGCCAGCCCAGGTTACTGCAAGAGAGGAGCCACGCTCACCGTACTGCCCACAATACTCCGCCCACAATACTCCACTCACTACCCACAATCCTCCACTCACTTCCCACAATCCTCCACTCACTACCCACAGTCCTCCTTCAGGTACCCGTAATACAGCCAGCCCAGGTTACTGCAAGAGAGGAGCCACGCTCACCGTACTGCCCACAATACTCCGCCCACAATACTCCACTCACTACCCACAATCCTCCACTCACTTCCCACAATCCTCCACTCACTACCCACAGTCCTCCTTCAGGTACCCGTAATACAGCCAGCCCAGGTTACTGCAAGAGAGGAGCCACGCTCACCGTACTGCCCACAATACTCCGCCCACAATACTCCACTCACTACCCACAATCCTCCACTCACTTCCCACAATCCTCCACTCACTACCCACAGTCCTCCTTCAGGTACCCGTAATACAGCCAGCCCAGGTTACTGCAAGAGAGGAGCCACGCTCACCGTACTGCCCACAATACTCCGCCCACAATACTCCACTCACTACCCACAATCCTCCACTCACCATACTACCCACAGTCCTCCACTTACGCTACTACCCGCAGTCCTCCACTCACCCTACTACCGACAGTCCTCCACTCACCATACTACCCACAGTCCTCCACTCACCATACTACCCACAGTCCTCCACTCACCATACTACCCGCAGTCCTCCACTCACCATACTACCCACAGTCCTCCACTCACCATACTACCCACAGTTAGGGTTGCCACCTTTTCGCAAAACCCAAACACATTTAAGCAACGCGCAGACTTTTTTTGGGGAGGAGTTGCGGCTTATTCATATGTAAATAGCTACGCCCGTTCATATGTAAATATCACAGTTGAGACTATTTTCAGTGGGGGGGTCAGAAGCCCCTATCTTAATTTTGGTTGCCCCTGTGTGTCTGACATCTTGTGTCCGTGTTTCAGCTGCCATGAAACCCGAACACAGCATTCAAAACCCGAACTGTCAGGGTGAATCCTGGACAGGTGGCAACCCTACCCACAGTCCTCCTTCAGGTACCCGTAATACAGCCAGCCCAGGTTACTGCAAGAGAGGAGCCGCGCTCACAGTACTGCCCACAATACTCCACTCACTACCCACAGTCCTCCACTCACCATACTACCCACAATCCTCCACTCACCATACTACCCACAGTCCTCCACTCACCATACTACCCACAATCCTCCACTCACCATACTACCCACAGTCCTCCACTCACCATACTACCCACAGTCCTCCACTCACCATACTACCCACAGTCCTCCACTCACTACACACAGTCCTCCACTCACCATACTACCCACAGTCCTCCTTCAGGTACCCGTAATACAGCCAGCCCAGGTTACTGCAAGAGAGGAGCCGCGCTCACAGTACTGCCCACAATCCTACCCACAGTCCTCCACTCACTACCCACAGTCCTCCACTCACTACCCACAGTCCTCCTTCAGGTACCCGTAATACAGCCAGCCCAGGTTACTGCAAGAGAGGAGCCACGCTCACCGTACTGCCCACAACACTACCCACAATCCTCCACTCACTACCCACAGTCCTCC